ATTAGGTGCTCCAGCCTGCGACTTTACAGGCAAGCTCCCACCTGGTAGCGCAGTCATGGCCATGACCCCACGACAACTCTATGGAATCAGATTGATTCAAATTTAAACATTTGGTTTCCTGACATGTGTAAATTGAAACCATTAAGATTAAATCACGCTGAGGCACGCCTCTTTGATACCCATTTTCTTCATATTCACAGAACAGCCGCCTTTGCGATTTATCGAGAGACCTAGCAGCCTGACCATCCCCTCCAAACCATCCGGAACTTCGTTCACATAGAAGGTCTGTGTATTCCTCAGGTCACGCGCTATATCAATACCGTCGATTCAAGTTGGTCTGCACCAAACCAAGATCCCCACGATCGACCACTGAGGATAACCCCAATGGATTTGCACCCCTTCTCCATATCAGCCACTGATGGTTGCACCGTAAAGTTCCTCAACGGCACTGGAGCTGAACTCAAACATGTACGTTCCTGATTATATATATATATACATATATATTCGCATGCACACGCGATGATGCACACGTAGCCCTTACACACTCTAGGTAGCAGCTCGTTTGGTACCATATAGCCGCTATAGCCTGTGTGCTGCTAGATGACCTGGCAGCCACTGGCATATCCTCAGGGATCACGAGGTCTGGCAAGTTGAGGCGACGAAGTTCATCCAAGACCTGCAATAAACACTAGCTGGGTACAGGTACTGCTGCATGTGGGTCAACTATATTATATATATATATATATATATGCATGCACCACGGCTTCAAACTCCACATGCAGCTGTTCAAAAAAAGAGGCCACATGTGCAAACACCTGGCCTCCATTTGTGGCGGTGGGTAAAGTGTGCCATCAGACGAAGGTTTGCCAGCGTCAGCTGTACCAGCAGAACAGTTCTTGGCTTTTGCTTTTGCTTTCGGTGCCGTTTTTGCCCTCTTAGGCCGAGGCTCCATACTCTCTCCGCTCTGCTCTACAACTGTACCCTTTCTGACAACAGAAGCTGCAGCTTGTTGAACCCTGGGTTTTTTCGGTTCAGGGATCTGGCTTGTGTTTTCAGCAACTCGTTTGGTAGAGGTTGTCGGCTCACCTTGGCCAGTCTCAGCGGATTCCTTCTTTCGCCCCTTGCCTTTGCCTTTGCCCTTCCCCCGACCACGCCCCTTGCCCTTCTTGAGAGGCTTGTCATCAAGCTCTTGGTCCCCATCAGTGCCAGCACCAGCCTTGAGCACCTTTCTGACTTTCTCTTGTGCCTGGTGGTTGCTCCATCACAAAAACTGATCATGCGATCAGAATTGCAAAAAGAGCGATCGAAAGTCATACGTCTTCGTTATTGGAACACACAGCTAGCTATATATATATATGTGTGTGTGTGTGATTTCTGGCATTGACTCAAATTCAGAATGCCTGCAAGACATCTTCAGGCGAGTCCTTCGACTGTGTTTGCATAGAGGCAATTACTGTCTCCACTACAGCTTGATTCGCATGGATAGCTGGCTCTGCCAACAAAGGAGCTCGGTCCTGCAAAGGTCTGTGCACAGAACTTAGTCACGTTCCAAGCTTGTCAGCCGATGGGTACCGCACTGCATAGAATGCAACCTATAATACCATTTCATGATCAAACAATTACCAAACCTGCCTTGTATGTACCTTTGGTCACTTTCTTCTTCCGACCAGCAGCACCTGGAACCTCAACCTCTTCATCACTTGCCACTGCTTCAAAATCAGCCTCTAGATCTCTCACCCAAGTCTGGTCAAACATCGGCTGGGTTTCAAGCGTCGTGGGATCCAAAAGTAGAGCCTGCAGCTGGAATTCAGCAAATATATACATCGACAGGTATTTTGATCCAGTCCTTCTTCTCGGGTTTGTGGACAGGCTGCTGCTGCTTCATGGGAATCTTAGGCGGCTTGGCCTGATTGGTTCTGTGCTTTCTGAATCTTGCCCAATATGTCTCCCAGCCCACCCAAAACGAAATGTGTGTGTTTCTTTTGGCTTCAAGGGCTGCGATGGCACGGAGAAATTGTTGCTTAGATAGCCCAGGCGCTTTTGCAAAAAACCTGGACACCCTATATTTTGCCCACCCTGGCCACTCTGCCTCCTTGAGAGAAGGATCCTGAATTTCTTCTTCTTTGTCCACTCCTCCCTCATCTCCCTCCTCAGCATTTTCCTCAGCATCCTCCTTTGTAGCCTCCTGAATTGCTCTTCCCTTTTCCACCTCTCCCTGCCCCTCTTGCACTTCCTCTTCCTGTGCTTCCTCCTGTACTTCCTCCTCCTGCGCTTCCTCCTCCTGCGCTTCCTC